TAAACTGCTGGTCAACTGAAAGGAGAAATGGACTAGAAGTCCCCAGTAATACTGAAGACTAAACTTAAGCATAAAGCAAGGTCATCTCTGGTGACCATGGAGAGAAACAGTGAACGAAGTGGATGGAGCATGCTGCAGAGGACCAGTGGGTTGTTTGCAGAGGCATAGTGGGAAGAAGGATGAGTTCTTCCTTTCTAAGAACATCCCATCTGCCATACCTTCCCGATGTAACTCAGGAGAAGGAGATCCACCTCCAGATCCAGGAGTACCTCCCAACCAGGACAGACCTCTCTTAGGAGGGGACATGTGAGCAAAGGCTCAGCGAAGGTCAGGGTGTGAGCCATGCTGAGATCTTGGAGAAGGGCATTCCGGGTAGAAGGAAGAGCCACTGTGAATGCTTATGAGACAGGAGTCCAGCTGGTTAGTTCTCAGATGAGCAAGGCGGGTAGTGGGGCTGGAGCGGAGTGAGGAATGGAGTACAGTAGGGGAGATCAGGACGTCTCCTTTCGGGCTCACAAGGAGGCTTACTCCACTGTGAGGACAGCAGCAATTTCTCTGAGTGAGACTAGAGACACGGCTGTATTTTGAGCAGAAGAGTGCTGTGACCTGACATGTATTTTAAGAAGAGCACTTAGCTCTTAGCAGTTGTGTTGAGAAGAGAAGCAAGGTCAAGGGTGGAGGCAGGCAGAGCAGCTAGAAGGCTCCTGCAGTTATCAAGGCAAGAGAGGAAGGGACAGAAGGTGAGAAGGGCCGGTTTATGGAGATATTTGGAACACAGGACTAATAGGAGTTCTTGATGGATGATTATCTATGGGTTATGGGTATCCATTTAAAAGAGGGATGAAGGATAACTCATTGGTTTTTGTCCTGAGCAACCAGAAGCACAGGAGTGTCTCTATCTAACATGGGAAAAGCTGCCAATGGAGTCATGCATTGGGAGGGAATTATCGGCAGTTCAATTTTAATATGTTGAGTTGGAGATGCCCATCATATATTCAAGTAGAAATGATGACTAGATAGTTGGATGGTCATGTGTGAAGCTCAAGAGACAGGTATGGGCTGGGCACGGTGGCTCATGCCTGTAACCCCAGCACTTTAGGAGGCCAAGGCAGGTGGATCACTTGAGGTCAGGAGTTTGAGACAAGCCTGGCCAACATGGCAAAACCTTGTCTCTACTAAAAATACAAAAATTAGCCGGGAATGGTGCTGAGTGCCTGTTATCCCAGCTACTTGGGAGGCTAAGACACATGAATCTCTTGAACTCAGGAGGCAAAGGTTGCAGTGACCTGAGATCACGCCACTGCACTGAGAGAGCAAGCCTCCAAAAAAAAAAAAAAAAAGCAAAAGAAAAGAAAAAAAAAAGAAAGAAAGAGGTGTGAATTGAAGATAAAATTGGGTAATCCCTGGCATGTAAAAGGTATTAAAGCCGCTGTCACCCAAGTGGAATGCAGTGGTGCAGTCATAGATTATGCAGCTCAAATTCCAGGGCTAAAGCAATCCTCCCACCTGGCCTTCCAAGGTGTTGGGATTATGGGCGTGAGCACGGCACCAGCCTTGAAGATATTAAAGCCTTGAGGCTGCATGAAACCACGAGGGGAGTGAGTATGGATGTGGAAGAGAGACAAGGACAAGGCTCCAGGTCAACTCGAGTTTAAGACAGCATGGAGAGGCAGGGAGCGGTGGTCATGCCTGTAATCCCAGCACCTTTGGGAGGCTAAGACAGGCGGATCACCTGAAGTCAGGAATTCGAGACCAGCCTGACCAACGTGGTGAAACCCGTCGTCTTACCAAAAATAGAAAACTTAGCCGGGCATGGTGGCACATGCATTGTAATCCCAGCTACTCAGGAGGCTGAGGCAGGAGAATCGCTTGAACCTGGGAGGCGGAGGTTGCAGTGAACTGCTGAGATTGTACCACTGCACTCCAGCCTGGGTGACAAGAGTGAAACTCTGTCAAAAAAAAAAAAAAAAAAAAAAGAGCCAGGAGAAGAACTGAAAGTAGCAAAGAAGAAAAAGAAGGAATCCACCTCTCTTCCTTTTCTTCTCTTGGCTTCTAGGATACCATAGTCTCTCTTTTCCTCTAGTTCAGTGTTCAATCCTTAGTCTTCTTTGCTGTGATGTGAAGTGAAATAACTGCCCAATAGATTTGGCATCATGGAGGTCATCCGTGATCCTGAGCAGTTTCAGTCCAGTGACAGAAATGAATGTCTGGCATGAGATCAAGGGAGAACAGGAAGGTCGGACATGGTGGCTCACGCCTGTAATCCCAGCACTTTGGGAAGCTGAGGCGGGTGGATTACCTGAAATCAGGAGTTAAAGACCAGCCTGGCCAATATGACGAAACCGCGTCTCTACTAAAAACATAAAAATTAACCAGACGTAGTGGTGCATGCCTGTAGTCCCAGCTACTCGGGAGGCTGAGGTGGGAGAATCACTTGAACCCGGAAGGCGGAGGTTGCAGTGAGCTGAGATCACACCATTGCACTCCAGCGTGAGCGACAGAGTGAGACTCCATCTCAAAAATAAAGATAAAAATAAAAAGAGAACAGGGGTGTGCACATACAGACAGTACATAGAGGTAACTTTGAGATGTCTGCATACAAGGAAGATGGCAAATGGAGTAACAGTGCAGGAGGATATGGGGTCAAGGCGTCATACACACACAAGTATACATAGAAAGACAGGAGGGAGGACACTTTTTTGTGCTGAAGTGAATGATTTAGAATAGAGCAACAACTAGGTAAGCAAGAGATGGGGTCATTTTAGAAACAGTCATTAAATAGCCCAGAGGGGAAGGGAACCTGGTGCCACATGGGAGGATTTGCCTTAGACAGGAGCAGGAACAGTGTATCAGGTGACAAGTGGGAAGGCAGCCTCTGGGTAGAGAGGTAGGTAGGATGGAAGATATGATGGTAGGAAGAGGAGGTAGTTCTTGTCAAATTGCTTTTATTTTCTCAGTAAAATAAGCAGCAAGTTTCTCAGCTCAGAGTGAGGAAGGGAGGAGTGTTGGAAGTTTGAAGAGAGAAGGTGCAATATAGTCATTTCAGGGTGCGGGAAAGTAAACTGACGAGGGAAATGCACAAGGACAGTGTTGAGAGCCCACTTGAGATGGATGATCATAAATTTAGAGTGACAACAGTTAGCCCTGTCATTTTTGTCCAGTGTGTTAAGCTGGACGGAATCAAGAGTTTGGCCAGATGGTCCCAGGAATGAGAAAGTAGGGGGAGGTGCATGCAAAGGAGTGATACAATGACAGACCATGAAATCTTAAGCTGGGTAGGAGAGATGTAAGAATGAAAGGCCAATGACAGACAGTGAAAAAGTAGACTGGAAGTCAAAATAAGGTCAAAGAATTGTTCAAATGTGGTTATTTGAGCAAATAAGCTGGGAGAGAAAGAGGTGTTGGTCAGGAAAGAGGATGATGGTCAGAGGTGGTGCTGTTATTTGGTGATGAAAAGATTGAGGATACCCACGTGACAGTGGGGTGGAGGAGAAAAAGGACTGCAGTTCAGGTACTAGGGTTTCAGATAGGCCATTAATCTACTGGGATGCTAAATTAACCAAAAATGTTAATAGGAGTTGGGTGGAGGTTGGGGACTGTGAGTCAGGTGCTAGAATCTTCGGAGAATGAGGGGGAGTGCAGGAGAGCCTGCAGATGACAGCCACAAAGCGGAGGTGGTATAGTCTGATGGCAGGTACTTCAAAGCAGCTGGGGTGGAGGGGGAAGAAAGAAAGAGTCTAACTTGGGGAATAATTCTCCTGCCAAAGGTTTGTTCTGAATTCCACTCTCTAGTATCTCATCAAGCTTCCTTCCCTCTTTTGGCAGCTGAGAGGCCATCCAGGGTAAGGATTTTTCCAGGGTCGTGGGGTCAGAAGGAAACCAGCAAACAGTCAGGACTTTTATTCTCTCTTCTCTGCTACCAAAATACCAAGGCAGTGTTTTGGATATTTAAAAGAACATTGTAAATGTCCTTGTTTGTTTCTGTCTCTGTGCAACACTGTTCTGGGAAGGACAGGGAGCTGGTAACCATGGCAGTGGAGCAGAGGGTGGTGGTGAAGAGGTGGTTTTTAAATGGGGTGAACTTCAGGCAGGCAGCACCCAGAGCTGGAACCCCCACGGCCTCCTCGGAGTTCTTTGTTCATTCAGCTTACTTAGGGAGAGAGGCTGCATTCTTCCCCGCTGGGAAGCAAGCTTTGAAAGGAAAGGTTTTGCCAGACTCCATAAGGAGAGGGTGTGTCCCTAGGAGCAGGTTTTGGGGTTATGCCTGAAAACCTTGGTCGGCAGGGAACTTTGGGCACCCTGTTACGAACAGGACAGTCTGTGATGGCAAAGAAGCCAGCTCTGCAGCATCCTGGATGCAGAGTTCCTACACACCGTTAGCTGTCTCACCACTTCTCCCTGGACAGGTGGCCACTCGCGGGGGTGGCCCAGAATCCTGGCCAAAAAAGACAGCCAGGCAGGGCCCCCACAGGAAGGTAGCTGGCAGGGGAGCCAGGAGGAGAGGAAGGAGGAGGGAAGCAGTCACCTCTTCCACGTTCCTGGATAGGGAGCCCCAAGACCCTTTTCAGGACGAAGAAGTGCCCCTAAACAAGCGGACACAGGGCAAGGCAGGACAGGACAGGGCAAACCTGGGGCACAGCTCGGGGCCAGGGAAGTCCCATGACTGCAGTGCTCAGCTGCAGGTTTCCCAGCTGCTCTGGGCGGGAAGCAGCGCTGGGAGATGGGGGCGGGGAGAAGGGAGGGGAAAAGAGGAGGAGGGAAGTAAACAGGAGACCACAGAGAGAGCCAGTTCCCGGCGTTCAGAGAACACTAGCCGCCTCCGGTCCCCGGTGGGTGGCTGTATGTGTGGAAATGAAACTGGGAGGAGGAGGGAGAGAAGGAAGCGCAGGCACGCACTTCTCGGCTGTCATCCACCTTGCCTCTCCCGACCCTCCAGCCCACTCCCCACCGGGGTAGGGGGTTGGGGGAGGTGGGAGGGAAACGGTTCAGCAAACGCTCACCCCCAAGTACCAGTAGCTGGTTCAGCTGTCGGTGAATCAGACACTGTCTCAGCAGCTCGTCACCTGCGCTCGGGAGGGGAACAGAGGGCAACCTTGTAACTTGGGAGGGGGAGGTTGGGAAAGTGCAGGATCCAGCACTGGGCCTGGGCCTGGGCGTAGGGGTGACGCCTACGGCTCGGAAAAGAGATATCCACCTCCCAACACCCACACACGTCTTGACCCAGCACCCGGACGCCGAGTAGAGGGGGTGGGACAGGAGCATGGGGGCCCTACAGAAGGGGGAACTGCAAGCAGGGGAGGGGAGAGGAATGGGGTGGGGGTGTCCTGCGGCGCGAAGCGCTGGGGGCGGGGTGGGCGCGGCCGCGGCCACGGGGAGAGCTGCTGCCCGGTGCCTGCCCGCGCGGGGTTATGCGAGGTAACCGCGCGGAGAGGAGGAGGGAGGCGGCGGGGGCCGCGGGCCGGGGTGTCTGGCACTCGTTGGACAAAGAGATGATGAAACGTGAGCGCTATATTTACCAAGGGGGTGGAGACGGGGCGGGGGGGCGGGGAGTAAAAAGGACAAACTGTTCCACAACAACCACAGGAAACACAGCCCATCTGACTCACTGGGAGGGCAGCACCGACCCCCTCGCAGGCTTAGCCTGGAGGCAGACGCGGGGCGCGGGTGCTCCCGGGACCGGACCGAACCTGGGCACTACGGCTGGGGCTGAGTTGATTTATAAATAAAGGCACATTCGATCCAAGAGTGCGTGTGTGCGTGCGTGTGGTTCTTGTGGGGTAGGGGAGAGCACGGAATGGCAGGAATCTTTCCTAACCCCTTGGCCGGGCCATCGCGGGAGAGATCTGCCTGCAAACTCTGGGAGCACAATTCCTGCAAAGTCATCTCCTCCCGCACAGCCTGGCCGGCCTGCCCGCCCCGCCCCGCCCGGGGACAGCAGCACCCGCCTCCCCCACTCCCTCCCCACCCCCGCAGCCCTTGGAGTTGGGGTGCGGTGCGGTGCTGGCTATGTTTAGAAGCTGATGTCATCTCGACACCCTACTCTGCAGTGTTCCCAGGAGGACCGCAGGGCAGGTTTTCCTCTTCCTCGCGGGCGTGGGGGATGGAAGGTGGCCAGGGTGGCCTGCCCTCTCCCCAACACACTCACCCCACACCCATCTACCCGGGAGATTAAAAGAAAAAAATGCAACACCGCCAGAGTTATGAAACAGAGTGGCGGGGGCGGTACGTGCACGCGGAGAGCGCAAAGCAAGGGCCCGGGCCGCACGGGGCTCCCCCCGGGTCCCCACCCACTCCCAGCCCCGCGCTCCCGGGTGCAGGGGCTAATTTCAAGGTTAGCTCACGTGGGCGTGGGCGCCCGGAGCTCCTTGCACGAGTTTGGGGCGGGTTCCTTGTCCCCCAATCTAGGGCAGTTTGTTCAACTGCAGTAAAGGGAGCTTGATGTTCCAGCAGGGAAGGGATTTCTGAGAACTGGGACTGTCCTCAGATGAACTCGCCTCCTCAGGCTGCTGCGGCGGCGGCCGCCTGCGGAAGACTTTTTAAAAGGGCGATGCCAGGCCGGGCCGCGCGGTCCGCGAGTGGCTGAGTCGCCCGCCAGTCCGCGGCCGGAGCGGAGCGCCCGCCCCCGAGCGCGGGTGATTCACCGACTGCCGCGCTGGGCCGGTCGGAGCGCTGGTGGCTGCGAGCTAAACTTATCCTCCTGCATATGCATGAACGGGCGGCCTTTCTGCGCTGCAGAGGAGGGCTGGAGTTTTGCGGAAGGCTGCTAAGTGGGGCGGGAGCAAAGTAGGGCGGTGTGCAAGTTTTCGCGCTTGCCTGAGCTCCCTTCCCCCTCTAGCCCCTGGGGTGTTAACTGTCATTATGGCCACGGGCGTTCCACCAGATCGGGCTTTACCTGATTGTATTTCAAAATCCAGGAACATCGCCATTGTTGGAAGCCTTATCCCTTTAGCCCCGCCTCTCCCCTCCTCAAGCTCGCCTGCTTCCCTAATTCCCCTTCTTTCACCAAAATGAACACTAGTTTCCTCCATGTTCCGTGTGCCTAGGTGGGGTCGCTGGAGCCGGAGGGGCTGGGCCCTTTTCGAAAGGGAGAGGTCTGGATCAAGCCCAGAATGAGGTCCAACACGTGATCCCCTACCCCCAGTGGGCCATCTGTTCTCCTCCTTCCTTCCCGCCTGGAGGCTGGCAGTTCTGCCCAGCACGGTCCACGCTTCCCAGCAGGAATGAGTGAGAAAAGCCAGAATTGGCAGAACCCAATACCTACAGAGTGTGATTTTAGCCTGAACTTCCCTGGTCCTTGAGCAGGGGTGACACCCGGCAATCTATATTTTAAATCGAGCGCCAGGTGATTAGCTCCACCCTGCAAGGTGGGGAAACCCTGCCTTGGGGCACAGTTTGAATAAAAATCTCCAGGGGAGGGGCCTGGGAATCTGTGATGCATATGCCAGGAAATACCTTACTCCCCTCTAGAAAAATTTACCTTGGGCCAGGCGCGGTGGCTCAAGCCTGTAATTCCAGCGCTTTGGGCGGCCCAGGCGGGCGGATCACCTGAGGTCAGGAGTTCGAGACCGGCCTGGCCAACATGGCGAAATCCCATCTCTACTAAAAATACAAAAATTAGCCGGGCATTGTGGCGCATGCCTGTAATCCCAGTTACTGGGGAGCCTGAGGCAGGAGAATCGCTTGAACCCGGGAGGCGGGGTTTGTTGCAGTGAGCCGAGATTGTGCCATTGCACACCAGCCTGGACGACAGAGCGAGACTGTCTCTCAAAAATAAATAAATAAATAAATAAATAAATAATAAAATTTACCAGGGAAAAAGAATAGGTTATTTGAACCCCCATTCCACTTTCTACGAACCAGCTTGAAGAAAGAAAAATCGAGACCATAAAATTAAGGAAGGGATTTTGAACACATTTATATTTGTGTCTGCTATCCATTAAATGTTGATTTAAGGTTTTCTGACCTTCACGGCCATAAAGAACAGTATTTCTAGATGTACAGCAGATGAGATGGTATTTAAAGAACCCAAGTCTTGCTCCAGTTTTTTTCTCTAGGTTTTTTTTTTTTTCTTTAGATTCCTTGAGGTGTTTGGAGTTTGGGAGGAACTACTGGAGATGTATTAATCTAATCCCATCGATTTACAGATAAGGAAATAGCTCCTAGAGGTTGCCTGAGGTTACAGAGTTTATCTCAGACCCAGAGGCCAGTTCCTCACAGTGGTCTACAACCCTGAAAGAAACAGCTGACTGTAGGCACTACTGCTTATTAGAGCTAATAATGATAATACTGTAATTATTTTAGGATGCACAGAAAACAAGGCTTATATATTCTGGCTACAGGCACATAAGCCATTGTTTTGAAAACTTGGATAGTAAAGCAAATTGTTAGGCAGAATTTAGAGAGGAAAGCATAAACTAGAAGCACACTTATAGTCTGAATTTTCATGCTCCTTCCGGTTGGTTTGTGTGGATTTGAAAATGTGTATTTACAAAGACTAACTTGGGGGAAAACAGAGCTCTTACATCTATGTGGCATAATATACACTTCAGTGATACATTATTTTAATTGGGAATGATTCATATTAATTTGGGATCATTTATTTTGCCAACATTTAATTGGGACAACCACATGCTGGCAAAACAGCCCAAGCTGGGTTTTAATCGTAAAACTATGATAAAACACATTCCAACACCCTCAAGGAAACTTCACTGTTGAAAATACAAGAAAAAAAAAAATCCTGACATAGAAATTATTATTTGCTGATATGTTATTTTATATATATGTTTTTAACATACAAACTTCATGGAGGACAGAGTCTCTTTTCATTTCTGTATTCCCGCATGCCCAGCTCATTGCCAGGAACATAAATACTGGAGAATGAATGAGTGGAAAAGGAGAAAAAAGAGAAAGCATTCTACAGTTCTAGAATTGCTGGGTTTAAAAAGATAATTCTAAATCAAGTCAAGCAGCAGTTATGTTTGTAAATGTGTGAGAAATTCATGTGGATGAAATCTCAGTTTTCTTTTATTACTTTCTTTTATAATTCTGAAATGAGTGAGTTTGGAGAATTCAGTGTTTATGTCCAGTTCAAACAAAGTGAAATTAAAGTGAATTAAAGAAAAGCTGGCAAGGAGTAAGGAAAGGAAAAGTTTATATTTTTAAAAAACCTAAAGTGATTGATGTATTCAAATTCCTGGATTATATAATCTTCAAGGAAAGATACAGACTTTTCCTCTATTCTGGAATAATGATGGTGGTGGTCCTAGGGCTATCTATAGATGTCCAGGCCCGAGCAGTCTGTTTCACCAGTACAATCCCAGTTAAAATGCCAGTCTGAGGGGTTGTACAGGCCATGATCATAGGGATCCTGGAGAGATCCCGCTGGTATGTGCACTGGGCCTTAAGGAGGCAGGCGAAGGTGCAATTTCTAAGTGATCATGTATCCTAGGGGACAAAATTTGTCCCAGAAAAATCATGAAGTAGGCAAACTCCCCTGGGCTTCAGTGCATTCTTTTCTAAAATTAAGAGATTAAGTTCTAAAAATGCAAGAACTCCAAGATGGCTTGGAGTTTTTTTATACACTGTAGAGCTACCTTACAGGGCTGTTGTAAGGGTGCATACAAGGTGCTTGGTACAGGGCCTGACACATAGTAAGCCCTCCACAAAAGGGGTCAGTGATAATGATGCTGATGGTGATGATATTCTTGGTTGCCCAGTATTCCCCATCTATACCTTTCTTCCACCTGCAGTCACCTACTGCAATATTTTCCCTGTACCACTTTAATATTTTTTTGTTGTTTTCTTTATTTGTTTTAAGGTGTACACTTTTATTGAACTGGTCTCATCAGGTTTTTTGTTTTTTTTTAATTGAAATGTATTATACTCTTACTTACCTGAGCCACCCTTAATTATCATTATTATTACTATTATTATTATTTTTAGAAAAACAGGGCCTTGCTGTGTTGCCCAGGCTGGACTACAGTGGTGTGATCAGGGATCACTGCAGCCTTGACCTAGGCTGATGCAGTCCTTCAGCCTCAGCCTCCTGAGTAGCTGGGACTACATGTGCGAGTCACCATGCCTGGCTAACTTTCTTTTTTAATTTTCTTTTCTTTTTACTTATTTAGATATATAATGTTTGATTTCTTATTATGGGGGTGGTCTATGTGCATTCTGGATGTGAATACCTTAATTGTCCACTTTCTTAGGTGTTGGGATCATAGTGTTCAATTCCTTTACCCGGCCTTCTTTTCTTTTTTT